ATAGAGAGTCGGCTGAATCGATCGGATTAAAGCTTCAAAAAAATCTAAAAAAATTATTAAAATTCATTATAAATGTTGTTTTTTGGGAACCCTATAAGAAATGATGGTACTACATTATTAACTTTCAGTTTTTTCATCAATTTGTGAATATTGAGATGCTCTTTCCCTGTATAAACTTAAGTATTAAATTTACATCACATAAAAAAAAAATCATAGCATTATCATGGATAAAATATATAACTATACATGGACTATAATAGAGAATAGACTAAATCAATGAAAGAATGACCATTAAAATCTTATTTTGGCGAAAAACCTTAATCCGCTAAAAAAACCCAAATTATTATAACATAACTAACTATAATCTAAAATTACTACAACCTAACTAATTATAATATTATATACTGAAATTATAATTATTAGTTTATATTTTATAATTATTTTATTAGATAAATAATAACAAATTAAAAATATTTTATAATATTATCTAATTTAAAATGTATTATTGACAATTGTAAGAAAAATAATACATTACATGATTTATAATGTAAAAATTAATAAATAAAATAAAAGATTTGGTTATCAATGTAAAAATTAATAAAATGCGTACAAATTTTGGAAAAAACACTTTAATTTATTATATGTGTTTAAAATTGCCTATTAATAACATATATTTACATTATGTTTTCATTTAATGATGTTTGAGAATTATCCCACATCGAAGAATAAGTATTCAAATATGCTATATAAATAACTATGTAATTGGAAGATTAATGCCAGTGCGAAAACACTAGGGCATCAGTGCACATGCACACGTGCATGTGCGTGTCACACGCGTGGCACGTGGGAGTGGTGTGTGTCCCGCGCGTGGCACATGTGGGAGTGGTGTGTGTCGCATGTGTGACACGTACGTGCATGTGCATGTCGCACGTATGACACATGTGGGAGTGGTGTGTATCCCATGTATGGGATAATGGGTGGGAGTGGTGTGTATCCCGCGTGTGGCACATGTGGGAGTAGTGACGCGTACGTGCATGTGCGTGTCGCACTTATGGCACATGTGGGAGTGGTGTGTGCCACATGTGTGGCACATGTGGGAGTGGTGTATCCATGTGTGACGCGTACGTGCATGTGCATGTCGCCCGTATGGCACATGTGGGAGTGGTGTGTATCCCATGTATGGCACATGGGTGGGAGTGGTATGTGGCACATGTAGTGCATGGCACATGTGGAAGTGGTGTGTGTCGCATGTGTGACGCGTACGTGCATGTGCATGTCGTACGTATGGCACATGTGGCCGTGGTGTGTATCCCATGTATGGCACATGGGTGGGAGTGGTATGTATCCCACATGTGGCACATGTAGGAGTGGTGACGTATACGTGCATGTGCTTGTCGCACGTAATCAACATGTGGGAGTGGCACATGTGAGAGTGGTGACACGTACGTCCATGTGCGTGTCGCACGTATGACACATGTGGGAGTGGTGTGTATCCCACGTGCGACACATGTGGGAGTGGTGTATATCCCACGTGTGACACATGTGGAAGTGGTGTGTGTGGTGTGTATCCCACATATGGCACATGTGGGAGTGGTGTGTATCCCATGTGTGGCACATGTGGGAGTGGTGTGTATCCCACGTGTGCTACATGTGGGAGTGGTGTGTCGCACATGTGGGAGTGGTGTGTGTCCCACGTGTGGCACATGTGGGAGTGTATATGGCTCGTGTCACACGTACACACGTGTGTGAGTGGTGTGTGTGGCACGCGTGATGCGTACACACGTGTGAAGGCTAGAACCGGGAGGGAACCGACAGTTCTGCTTTGGAACCGGGCGGTTCTTGATTTTGTGCTGAAACCGGCACGGCCTGTGCCGATTTCGGAGTCGAACCGAGCGAGTCCGATTCGACTCTACAATTTTTAAATCATTGGTGCTGAGGCTCTAAACAATTAAATTCGAGCTTACCTAAAAAATTTCACTAGACGAGGTTGTTTTGATGCCCAAATACCCTCAAACTGATCATCTCGGCATCAAGATACATGGACATGAGAAAACATAAATTTCAACTTTTGAAAATAGTGTATTTTGTATCGCATTTTTTTGTAGTCAATTTTCAAGATTTTTAAGTTTTTATAGATCTCCCGATCTATACTATTTTTTAAGTTTTAAAATTTATAAAATATATATATATATATTTTAAGGTTATCAAAAATATTTTTAATATCGAAACCATGTTTCTCGATACTATTTATAGGTAGGCTCTAATTTGATTGTTTAGAGCCCAGGCTCTATACAAACCGTACCCATGAAATAATATTATAAACATCTATAATAAAATAACATATAAAATACTATTTTAAACATCCAACTTTTTAATTGATTTTTAGCTTCCAACTTGAAAACAATGCCTGCATCTACAAATCAGTGAAGATTTTAATCATTGTAACGACTAATCAATCCTTTGGTGGATAATATCAAGGAGGCTACTTTGAACCATGGTTATCAAGGGGCCGTTTATAACACAATTTTTTAAAAATATATCAATTTTTTTTAGAAAAAAGTTTATATAAGGTTGCAACCTTAAAATGTAAAATTAAAAACGCACCTAAAAAATCTATCGAAAAAAGTTGTTTTAATGTTAAAAAACCCTCTAATTGATCATCTCGATTGAGATGTACAAATATGGAAAAAAAAGGAAAAAAGACTTTAAGTCCTAAAAATAATGCATCTTGCACCACATTATCTAGACCGTCCATCTTCAAGATTTTCGTGTGTTTATAAATCTACTTAATTTTAACCATTTTTGGAGTTTAAAATTTTATAATTAGATATGAAATTAGATTTTTAGATAATCCTAACAACTTTTTACACCAAAATTATATGTTATGATAAAATTTGGAAAAGTGCCTTAATTGGATTGTTTAAAGTTGCAACGTTACATAAACCACACCCTTTTTTTAACCGTTTAAATATGTGATATTTTTAAAATATGGGCAAAAAACACAACATATTCATAAAAATATTAAAAACACACTAATTGAATTTTTTTTAAAAAAATATTCTTAAATTTTTTTTCATATTTTTATTAAGAAACTATCCCGTACACATCATGATGTGTGGGTAGAAGGGTACACAAGAACATTTTTAATGGTTGAGATTTCACAAGGGCATATCAGCTTGTCCTTTCATATGAAGACTCACCTGATAACAGATGTTGACAACCAAATCCTATGGCCAAAAATTAGGCTCACATTTTTTTTTATTTAAATAAGATATTCATTTGAATTTTGCGGTGCAAATATATTTTTATAAATATAAATACCTAAACATAATTAAAAATATTTTTAAATAATTTTAAATAAAAAAGACTAAAATACACTTAAATTTATTTTGATAAATATTTCTCATTTCAAATATTTTTAAATAAAAAAGACTAAAATAAACTTAAATTTATTTTGATAAATATTTATCATTTCAAATATTTTTACTATTTTTATTCATTTCTACTAATAAAAAATAGAAGCCATAGCCCAAATTTCATATTAATATATTTTTTAATAAAAAATAAAATTCAATTTTAGCCTTTTGACGAGGCTAGTTCAACTTGAACCACCTTTTAAGCATCCACAATATTTGGACAAAATACCAACCCTTTTTTGTATATCCAAAAGCATATGATTGATCCAAAATTCATATATAATTAACTGTCTTTAATTATAAAATAATTGACCATAAGATTAATTATAACTTTGAATTTTGTAAATCCAAAATCAAGATAAATATAGGATTAATTATATATTTTAGACATAACTATATAAAATCTGTCATTGCAGGTCCCCAAGGATAAGAAAGGAGGGTTGTGTTAGGTTAATAGTTATAAGAAAAGTTTTGGTTTATCCCTATGGCTTTCATGAATCCCTACTTATAATAAATTAATAACAGTTAATTAATGGGAAAGTATACAATGAGACTATTTATCTTTCATACAAAGTAGTCAATTAATATTGACCATTGAATGTGAAATTGAATGACTACATTTATTATATTAACCAAGCTCAAAGTTAGAAAAAAAAATATTTCGAACTTTATGACAAGCCTAAACTATCAGATTTCATATCAGATAGTTATAAGTAATTGCGACATCCTTATACCAAACATAAATTACCTCATTGTATTCAATCCCTAATTAATGGGGTACAAACATAATTTTCTCTTAGAAATTGGGTGAATTACTAACATCAATGTGCCAACCTAGATCCCAACTTTAAATAAATAATTTGAAGGAATTGAAGCTGTTTATTTTAGAAAATATAAATAGGGACATGCAACAAGGATATGGAGGCTACAAAAGTTCAAAATGGGAACACGAATAAATAAATCTAAGTTGGTCATTTCTGTCGGTTAGCGAAGCCAATGTTTAAAAATTAGAAGTCAGATTGAAATATAAAAGAGAATCACCCGAGACTACAAATTTGCCAGAGTCCCGTTAAGGATGGCAATTGGGTAGGGTCAATCTGCCAACCCCACCCAATTAGGATAAACAAATCACTTAGACCTAACCAAGGTCCTGGTCCATTTTATCAAGTGCCTGGGTAGGGTCTAGGTCGGGGTTGACAGGGAATCGACCCAGCCTGACCCACCCACTGCCGCCCCCAAGTCCCATTGGTGAATCAGTTTCACTGTAATGAATTTGGACAATGCTCCAATTCAGGACCGTCCAAAATCAGATGCCTGCCTAGGTTCAAGCAATCTAAGGCCCTTCTGAGTTGGATCGGTCGATTTTCAATCCTATATGACACTCAAAATATTCATGATTATATATTTATTGTGTAAATTATCATACTCTCACACACCCTCTCGCTCTCAGCTGCAACAATTTAGCAATTGAAGTCAAAAGAAATATCCACACTTCAACAAATTAGAAGCCCCAATTATGGTCAAAAGAAAGCACCCGAAGTCCACAATTGAATAGTGAACAAATGCACAAGGGGGCACGATCCATAAATTAAAGAGTGGACTGATTTATAAAACACTAGTTGGATTCAGCTTATGCACTCCAACCTATACATGGTATAAAATTGAGATTACATAAATAAATAACAACACAAAAGGGGATCATTATATAACATATTTGCATTCTCATGGTTGGAAAAGCTAGATGCTGACTTACGGTGTTTGCTTGCCTGTTTTCACTGTATTGCTGTAAAATAATTAACTCAGCAGGCATTTTTTGGACCTTGAATCACAAACTATTTTTTCGTCTACTATCAATATATGCTTGGACGGAAGGTTCTCTACCCAGGTAGCCCAACAAAATTTCCTTGGCATCCTTGGCACCTCCTAGAGCCAATATCTGCAAAAAGAAAGCGAGAGGTTGGGATTTTTTTTTTTGAGGTGAGATTTTTTCCCTTTTTCGGGGGGGAAGGAATACAGATACGGATTGTCATCACAATAACACAAAAGTTTTTTATATAGTCCAGGGGTCCCCACCATACAAGGAGAAGAACATTGAGTAACTACATTTATATTTTAGCCTGGAAAATATAGTCAAAGGTGTCTCCACCCTACAAGGAGAACATCGAGTAACTACTAAAATGTGGAAACAAAAAGCAATCCACAAAAACAAGAAAGAAGAAACAAACACAAAAAAAAAAGACAACCAACCACAACACAAAGATATACGTGGTTCGGCAACATACCTATCTATTTCTTCAGAATACAAGACATCAATCCTCAACATAAAAGCAAGATGGAGTTTTGTGATTTCAACTGTCATAGCATAGGCCAGGCCCCATGAACTCATAAAGTGTACGAATAATACTCAAGTAATACTCAAAATGGGAAAATAGAGTGTAGGAAATGAGAGGATCATTATGCATTCCAGGCTGGAGATCTAGATGTATGCGCTTTATGAATGACCATTGTCTCCAACTCTACAATCCATTCTAGAATGAAGCACCAGCTACCAACAGCCTTTGATCCCAAGAGAAACATTTGGAGTTGTATTCGCACTCCAAAGAAAAAAAAATGACCAAACCCCCGAGTACTCTGCAGTAATCCTTATGAAGTACCAATGACATAAACTTCAAGAGAGTGAAGATGTTCTCACAATACTAAGTAGTACTTTCATGTACACAGAGATGCATAATATCTTCAAGATCCGATGCTCTTTGGGCACCATAAAGCAACAAAGGTGAAAGACTTCAACATGACCAAAATAAATATATATACGAACATAACTGAGGATAGAAAGGCAATTTGTGATTTCATTGCAATGCAAGCATTAAAACACATAATCTACAGATGAAATGAAAACAGAAACTGTAGATGAAATGAGACCAACAGGCTAAAAGAATATGTAGACAGAAAACAGTAGGACGAAGACTCAACAGATATGAAAGCTTGAGCGCATGGTTTACCTTGTTTCTGAACTGCAGGCCCTCATATTGATTTAAAAGATCATCTTCAAACTTCGAAGAAAATATGTCGGAAGCAATGACCTACAAGAGGCATAAGAAAATATTAGCTAATCATGCTTTGCATTAGGTAACAAGAGAGCATGTGACTTTATATTGTACAAGAGGACATGACAATAGTACGATGATACCTCACTCCATAGGTGACTGTAGCAAGTCGCATCATAACCAACAACAAGACGTGGAAAACATGAGGCTGGGTTCATTTCTCCTAACAAGGGGATTCCTAGCAACACCTATAAATTCAGATAATTTTAAATTCCAAATTCGTACAACAGAGTAAAATTGCACAAGTTTCATCGAGACCCAAAACAATGTTTACCTTCGGATGGAGATGCTTGAGAAGCTCTGTCATGTCAACATTCTCATTGGAGTGTATAATCTGATCAAAAAGGCCTGCAAGCAAGTAAAAAGTGCACTTCTCATACCCAATGTATTAAGTTCCTCATCATTGAGATACAATTTGTCAGAGCCACAATTCATGCATATGAAAAGCCAAACCAATAAATTACTAACAAAGAAGAATTTCTTGCTTCACTTTAAGTCCAAAGAATGAATGCCTTTTTCTTTTTAGGGCTCTACACATCTCATCCACAAGTGGCTTCGTGATATCCTGAAAATTTGCAGTCCAACTCAATAAATAAAATGGCTGGCCATTGGTCTTCTCATACTCAAAAGGTTAAAATCATTTTATAAATGAACATCGTGAAATATACAACACTGTGCAATAATAAATTTAATGGGTGCTGCTTGTAGTATTGAACAGCACAACTTCATGTTAACTTAAAAATACAAATGGCCCCACATAGAATTAACAATAAGATTACATTGCTACTGCAAATGAATGAATTGTTAGTGCAAATGAATGCATGAACAATTGCTTGGCCAATAAGAAACATGGTTTCAAATCAGTTATCTTTTAATAATGCAACTTAGAACATAGGAAACCCAAGGACGAAGAGGTTAGGATGAGGGATATAGTTCCATGAAGCCTGCAAAACCTTAAGAAGCCTTATGCACTGACACCAACAATTCACTAAAAGATCACACTTTTAGTTGCAGTTTCTCTTTGGTTTGTTTGACAAGTGGTCTCCATCCTCACCCAAAAAAAAAAAAAAATTAGCCCGAGGGGAAGTGAAGGCTCTTGTTTCTTTAAAATTTGTCGCTATAAGACACACCTTAAATCAAGGAACTCAGGTGCTTTCACAAAAACCTCACCAAATTCAAGTACTAATAAAACAAAATGAGCTGTTAACCTAAATATAGAACCGTGGTCCTCAATTGACATTTTTCTCGTATTGAATTTTTCATAGACTTCCACCAAATGCTGACGTCATGGGAGAAATTTGATACCTTCGTATCATCATCAACATTAGAGCTTCTTCCCAAACTATTTGGGGTCGGCTATTTGATACCTTCGTATAGTAACCGCAAAAAGGAGTGAAATCAACTCATGTGATTAAGATCATATATATAATACAAACTCATGTGATTAAGATCATATATATAATATTTCTATATGGTGCAAAAATAGTTAGTGCAAATTTACATTTGATGGTACAATGATTATATAAAGGAAAAAGTTTATATAAGGTTGACACCTTAAAATGTACAATTAAGGTGCACTGTCTAAAGTCCATCGAAAAATGTTGCTTTGGTATTGGAAAAGTATCTAATTGATCATCTCAACATCTAGATGTATAGATACATAGAAAAAAAGATATTTCAAGTCCTAAAAATACATCTTGCAACACTTTGGACCAATGGTTTAAAAAACGGATCGGTGACCGGGATTGGGCTTCCAAAAAACCGATCCGGATCGACGAATCGGCGATCCGGATCGGGAATCGGGTGAATCGGTCAGAATAAAGCTT